GTTGCGTTACCTAGGAAACAAGCGACAATACTATTTGAAATCGATATTAGACTGAAGTATTAATGTAATTAAGTAGTTACTATAGGATTCTGACGATGGAGTATAACACACTGATATGTTGGGTTTTTGGACTTTATCCATCGTCCTGGTTTTTAAGATAACAAATAAAAACACGACGTTTCGGAAACTGGATCTGTTTCCGTCCTCAGGTGAAGGAAAACACCTATTCAGTTGGGTCCCTTAGAAAGAGCTAGCCTCAATCACTGGACAAACCAATGTCACAAAACATGAAGATTATAAACACCTGAGACCAGGCTAAGTCCATGAGAGCNGTATAATTCTATGACAAGTACACAGTTACTACATTAGGACATGTTTCGGCCATTATTTTTAGTCATCATCAGGTGGAATTTACACAGTCACTCTCAACTCTCCGTGATAGCCCCTTTCCATTGGCTAATGCTTACACTGGGGGAAGGTCATGTTGCTGTCCGCAATGCAGGTTTTCAGTTGTAGGCTTGAACAACTGCTACAAATTTGTCCCAGTGTTCCGAAGGGAATGGGCTATTCGCAATAAAAACGTCTCTTAATTTTTCACCAGCCTTAAAATTTGTTTTTATAGCTAAGTTAAGATAGGATAATTTGAACTTATAAAAATTAAACCAATACTGGTTAATTACTACAAAAAAATCCGTGGCCTGTAGTCCGCAAGCGAACTATGTATACCGACCCAGCGACCGCCGCTTGTCGGCAAAGTTAGTGCCAACTTTTGCGGTTAATTACTATTCTTGTTATTATTGCTATTTTATTATGTGTATTTAATTCGGTCGTGTAGTCCTGAGATCAAGACAGAACCGGGATCTGGCAGGGTACGTGTTGTTTTCTCTTGTCGCATAAAAAGGTAAAGTAAAGCTACCCCCGTAACAGCCCGTGAAGGCTCATAGGGTTCGGGACGTCGAGGCCCCCCACATTATTTACACAGTCGGCTCACAGTCGACGGTAAGGTTGTCAGCCCTACGCACCAGCCACCATTTACCCCCCCCCTCTTTCAAGGAAAATTCCAGGTATTCATTTTTGTTACAGTCTGAGTCAACCCCAGGGCCATAGTGTGGCTGGAAATATTAGATAAATTGAAAAGAAAAATAATCCAGTGACCTCATGGGGAATCTAACCCGCAACCTTCCGGCTTCTAGCATAGTGCTTCAGCCAACTACGCGTAGTTAGTTAAGGGCCTATGCTACAAGCCTCAATGCCCCGGGTTCGATGGATTTTTCAATTGACCTAATCTTTCCAGCAGCACTATGGCCCTGGGGTCGACTTAGCCTCTAACAGAAACGAGTACCAGGAATGTTCCTGGGGGGAAAGGGCGGCCTGCCGGCGCGTAAAGTTGACAATCTCACTGCCATTTGTGGACCGACTGTCTAGAAAATGTGGGACCCTCGACGTCTCACAACCCTATGTGCCCCCACGGCCTCTTACAAAGATAGATTTTTTTACTATGGACAACCTACGTTCAGCATAAGGAAAATTATATCTTTGTAGTGTTGGCTATGCTTTCTGATGATGGCCAAGCGTGGCTGAAACACTTAAAGCAAAAAATTATATATTTATTCGTATATTAAGAAGGGGCAAGTCTGAGAACTTACAAAGAAGCGGATGACCAAGGACCTCAAATATAAAATCTCATCAAAGTTGTTGCAACGTTTGTACACTTATAATACAACATGAAATCCCTTGTCGTAGTTACACTGTGAGAATCGACTCGTGATGCACTCGACCAGCAGGGAAGTGAAATCGATAGATCTATCGATATGTGCACGTGCTTCCTGCAGGGGCTCTCACAGATAGCTCTGAGAATGTGAGCGTCCGATACTTCAAACGAAAATAAACCGATAATCTTTCCATACAGTTACTGTGTGTGTGGCTTACACGACATGGAGAAGTGGCGGGAGGGAGGAAGATAAATAAACAAGGAATGTGATAATATTTAGATTGTAATGTGGAAAGCGGAAGAAAGGCGTATGACAGCACAGGTGTGAAACTTGACGTGTGACAAAACAACACGCAGTACACAACTCATACATTACTTTTTGTTTCTATTTCCTGTGAAGCAACAGGCAAGCAACGATATATACAGAGTGTAAATAAATATATGTTACAACGCTCTGTGGTAGATAGATGTGGTCAATCTGATCATATTTGTTAATACACCGGAAACGCTTTGTTTACGTGCTAGGGCCTCTGAAATGTGAAGAAGGACGCCCTTACCTCTTGCCTCTGTGGCTTACCGGTGACATTTACCTAACATTTCTCCAAGAGACCTTACTCGAGCTGCTGGAAGTAGTGCCTTTGGAATCCCGTCGTGAAATGTAGTTCCAGCACGATGGCGCCCCAGCACACTGCAGTAATGTCGTCCGTGAGTGTTTGGATGAAACCTCTGGCAACAGATGGATTGGACTTGGAGGCCCAATCACCTGACCCCCTCGCTCTCCTGACTAGACTCCACTGGATTTCTTTCTCTGGGGGTACATGCAAAGCCTGGCGTACGAGACTCCAGTGGATACACATGATCTTGTGGCAAGAACTGCAGTACCAGCTGGAACCGTCCGGGAAAGGCCGGCAATTTTTCAAAGAGTTCGGCATAACATGGCCAGGCGGTGCAGAACATGAAACGAAGTCGGTGGCCACCCTTTTGAGCAACTTTTATAATGTAAAACAACGATAACATCCCCTAAAACTTATGCATCCTCTCGGGAAACTGTTGTGACCCTTAGTGCCAAAAGGAAGCGCTTCCGGACATGGATATATAAACAAAATATGATCAGATTGAACCCATCTATCAACCGCAGTGCGTTGTAACATACATTTATTTTCACCTTGTATGACATGTTAGTCATATCAAGGGACTATCATTTGGTTCTAAAGGGTTCTGTTGCTTTTTGCTTGGCTTACAATTCAGCTCCAAAATGGCGGCGGTAAGTTCCCACGAAACGCTGGACTTTCTCCGAACTAAACTGCGTTACAGGCCACAAGACCGCTCTCTTTCTAGCCACGACTATTTCAACTTCAAATGTAGTTCAATATACAGTAACTTACCGAAACTTCCCCCTATATTTTCTATAATGGACGGGGTTCCGGTGTACATCACTTCGGAATAAACGCAGGCAGTTCTTTGGTTACCGCGAACTTATGTGATATACGCTCACTGATATCAAACTGTAGCGACTTATTAACTAACATCCATATTCAGCACTTTAAAACAGCTGTTAATACATACACCGCCTGTTTGGAGGTATATAACTGCAGACCAATAATTTGCTGATGGCCTTCGCCAGCATAGTCATTCTTGGTTTCGGGCCCCGTCTGGACCCATAACTTGCGTGTTCTGAAATTGGATCTCCTCTTCGACGAGAGGAGGGCTCTGACTACTGGTGCCAACTACCGTCGACTAACTGAATTTTTGCACGCAATGTACCTTTCATACTCTGAATATACAGCGATTATTTCCATAAACATTAGTCGATAGGTCTGTAATGGAGGTATAAGGACTGAATTATTTAATATTGTGTATATGAATTTGAAGCTTCAAAGGGTCGAAACAAACACGTGCTCTTTAGGGTTCCGAAGGAGAATGTAGTGACTAACATATCCAGGACGCGAGATGTTTTGGTCTGATGGTGGCGCGGCCTCACGCTCTTGTGTTCACTTCCGACAGCTGTAGTCCATCCTAACAGGAATAAATTAATCGGCACAGGAATTCTGCAACTACGAAAGGATGCAATTTTTATCAAATGGGCGTTATGCAGCACTGTTTAACGGACGACACATCGAAAAGGAAAGCGACGAAAACAAGTGGATGGATTTGCCGTCCCGTATACAGAGAGCCGAACATTCTTTTACATACGTAGGCCATTTTAATTTGCATTCATATGTATGTGCATATACGAATATTTATATCATGTGAAGCTATGTATGTAGGTATGTGTGCATACTGTGGAGCCGGGATAGCGTAGTCGGTATGGCTAGTGGCTACGGGCTGGACGATCGAGGGTTCGGGATTCGAGCACCAGTAGGTTCAAGAATTTTCTCTTCTCCGCGTCGTCCAGACCGGCTCTGGGGCTCACCCAGCTTCATATCCAGTGGGTACCGGGGGCTCTTTCCCCAGGGGTAAAGCGGCCGGGGCATGAAGCGGAAACCTGGAGGCCTAATTCACGGCGCAATATCACAGCCCAAGCTGTGATCGTGTCATGATTCGTTAACTGGGCATCAGTAAACGAACAATTACCGCAAAATTTAAGAGTTTTTCTATAACTCGAGGCAGAGCTTCCGCTCCAGTATACACTTACTGACAGCCATCGAAGTTACTCAAATACGGGACATTTTCCATCGTCTCGTTTCGGTTAGAAACACTGCTTCCGTCATCAGATGAAACATTTGGACCCTACTCTATCGAGACAGAGATTACGTCCACAGGATGTATGCAACAGAGTATACTTCGGATTTTTACCTGATGACGGAAGCAGAACCATTTTTCGAAACACTATGTTTGTTTAACTAAAACGGATGTACGGGAAATTTTGATTAGGCCAAATGGTAAGAGTCCAGGTGTTCCTATGCGTTTTTGCGCACCACATAATGAATACGTTCAGTGGCGTGGAGATAGACCTATGGCCGCACCATAGCTTCCCACCGCGGCGGCCAGGGTTCGATCCCTGGTCTGGTCAAGCGAGATTTGTGATGGACAAAGTGGCGCTGGGGCGGGTTTTCTCCGAGTACTTCGGTTTCCCCTGCCAATCTTCATTCCACCAAATTCTCCATCATCATAATCACCCGGGGCAGGCTACAATAGGCCAATCAGTGGCCGCCGTGCTGAGTGGACCCAGTTGGTCTCCATCCCCCACTAAGCGAATTAAAAAAAAATTGGCGTGGCTCTTTCCCAGTGCTTGTGCTAGCATCACGACGCACACTTATTGTTAGCCTCAAGACTTAAAGCAACTTACTGTTGAAGTCACCGGGACAGACTTTGCAGCACCGTCCTGGGAAGAGAACCGGTTCATCACAAGTCGGTTTGGAGCACTCGTTCTTAATGTTCCGGCAGTACACCTTGGCGGCTATGCGCCTCTTCTTCTGGATCTGCAAGAAAACACCATCATCACATTGCACACACAACAGATGCTGTGCTTATCCACTGGGTAACCCGCCCAATTTCGCTGCACTACTGGCTGCAAGATGGCCGTCCAAAGGTCCCTAGACAGTTAAAAAGAATAGGATGCAGGCCTCAGATGTGTCCTCTTGGCGTCCACAAGCCCCAGCAACTATGCTCCCTCCCTGAGCAGAAGAGCGGCACACGTGCACCTTACATTATGACGAGACTACACGTACAGACAGCTTTCATGATAAGATGGAACCAGTCCTCACCTGTCTGCTTCATTTTGGTTACTGGGATATGCAACCGTCCAATTTTGGATGCATGTTTTCGGTATTTTATTTATTTATTTTTTTTTTGGGCGCTACAGCCCCAAATTGGGCCTCGGCCTACCTCCATGAAACTCTCCGTTTCACTTCGGTTTACTAGATCTCAGACATTCGGTAGGACTCCTTGGGGAAGGGCCTCTACCTGTACACAAATACAGAAAAACGCGCGCGCGCGCGCGCGCCACATACACACACACACACACATTAAACATCCATGCCCTGAGAAGGATTCGAAGCCACGATCCCGACTTCCGAGCGAGCGAAGACAGTGCATGCCTTATACCGCTCGACTACCGTAACCGGCATATTTAATCACTTAATGTGAATTAAATTAATCAGCTTGTAATTAGTGAGCAACCACCAAATTAGTTTGAGTTAGTCCGATTATTTAATTTAGGGCAGATTTAGGTCTGGGATATAACGTCGGGTAGCCCGGTAGAAGTCTGCCTACGTTTCGGAGAGACGTAATTGCAGCTCGGTTCTTAGTGGTTTCCTTGCTTGGTTTACGCTTCGCCCATGAAGGTGGATGTCATGCATTATTCCAAAACGTCGACAAACATCTACCCGACTTCAACGTCTTACATCCCAACATCCTGTAGCCTCCTCCCTCCTCAGTCAAAATATTCTCCTCAGCACCCAAAGTCTACGTTCCTTCCTTAATTTCAGAGACCAAGTTGCACACCCATACAGAACTACAGGCAAAGTGCTCATGTGCTCGTCCTTCTGAGGTAAATCATGTTCTCTGGTAGTAGAATACGAAAGTGTGCTCCCCTGAAAGGCAGAGACTCAAGTACCACTCTTCACGGTGTCACAATATTGAAGATCAAACAAGACCAAGTAGTATGGCGTAGCGGCGAGACTCTGGCTCGTATTTGGGAGGTTCTCGGTTCGAATCTTGTCCGGGACGTCGGATGTTTGACTAAGAGCTTTTGCAGTTTTACTCAGTCCTTCCATGTAAATACTAGGATAGTAACTCCGTTAGGCTACGACTATTTCCCTCCAGACTCTGCCCAAACATTCTAACCCTTACAGTCTACATTACTTCGCGTGTGGCAAAACAAACCACAAGACTCAGAGCCCTGGTACCCTGAACCATCCAGCTATTGTCTTTGGTCACCCTCTTAGCCCTCATTAACACGAGTCTATTTCTTTCGGGTTCTATATATATATATATGTATATGTATATATATTATTTATTATACTGCAATTGGGTTTGAGCCCGGTGGCAGTAGTACACAATGGGAGACAACATACATGTAACACACATTACACTAAGTGACAACACGTTCAAACAAAATACAATACACAAAACACAACAATAACGACATCCTACCACAGTGAATACAAACCAAATACGATTAACAACTACAACAATTACAGAGAAATACAAACAACTGCAACAAATACAACAATTACAGAGAGAAAAAAAAATACAACACCCAAAACACAAACAAAAGGAAACCAACAGTCATGGATGCGTAATGTCATTTACTTCACTTCACTTCAGTTCACTTCACTTCCAATACGCTTCTAATACGCAGTATGTCACGATTTAGGGGGATTTGCGCCTGACTTATAAGACAGGGGTTTTGATTGCATTTACTGACACACACACACACACAACTCGAGACTACGGGCAATACGGCGCTATCGCTATAGCTACACTTTACAGTTCACCGGTACACACGCACTAGGGACCTTTCTTCACTACCCGTGTCCTGGCAACAGATTTATAGCAGTCCCACTATCTCTTCAAATCACACATGAAGTCTTCTTTGCACAGCCAAATTCCTTTCTTGCCATTATTCTGCAACTGCCAACTCCGAAGGCTCGACTCAATTCAATTCCCAAGCTCATATCCCGGCTGGAAACTCGACTGACTCTTCTCAATTGAACTCTTCTTTATAATCACTTTGCACACACCACGCAGAAAACACGGCCTCTCTGTTTTGCTGGAAAGGCAACGGAAGTTACTCGATTGTTGCTTGAGTATTCTTTTCCTCGGGGGTGTTTACCGAGTAGTTGCCTAGCAGTGAAGTCTATTCCGGCTTTAGGGCGTCATGTCTGATACCCGCTTGCAGTACGGAGTGTCAGCACAAACCCATAGCAACCAATCTGGCAAATTCTGCGTACGAGGATAACATACGGGGCGTCATAACAGCGGTCTGTCCTTGCTCACATTACAAGTGCACTTGCTGACGTATCAGGGACACAACAAAGTTACCGCCAAATCAGAAAATCGGGAAAGCTCAGTCCGTATAGCGATGGGATCGATTCGACAAGGAAAAACTATTTCTCTGGGGCCCACCCAGCCTCCTATGCAATTCGTACAGTGGGGCTGTTTCCCCAGAGGTAAAGTGGCCGGGGCGTTAAGCTCAACGCTTACCGCCATCTATTGTCGAGGTCAAGAATGGTGGAGCTATACCTCAACTCTCCCACACGTCTTCAAGGCGTTACTTGTCTCATTCTTCGGCCCAGAATATAGAGGCGACATGTTCCTACGAAATGTCGGTTGACTTTAAGCCGACTACATGAAGTTATATCCCAGAGTGTAAAACTCTTCATAACCACAGTTCTGAGGCTCTCAAACCGAACTTCAAGGATTTGGTTTTCTTTTTAAAAAAATAAACACCTAACAATCTTATAAGGGGTTTTTAAACTTATATTGTTGGCTGCAATGACGTGACGGACAACATAGCCGTAAATTTAGGTACCTGGGTCACATGTTAATACGTAACTACCAACTGTGCTAACATAACCGAACAGTATTACCTTCTGAGCAGTGACGTCAAGAAGCCCGACGTTTCGGGGGAACGAAATGCCTCCGTTTTCAGAATCGAAGAGGACCCCCAACAAGCAACCAATAAGCTCAGCCTCTCTGCGTGCATTTTTGTTTTGACGAATGCATTAGAAAACAGAATCCATCATATTCACTGCCGGTATATAAACATTCCACTCTGCAGAACCTGGGTTACTGATTACGTCGTCAGGTAAACTACAAAGGTAATCTTTCACCATGGAAACCGCAAATGTTCTTTCCTCAGGGCGAAAGACAACGTTCCATACCAAATAAGAACAGGTAAAATTACACTCAGAATTACTGGGGTTTGTCCACAGCCCTGAATTCTAAGAAAACAGAACGTTTCGGAAACTAGATATGTTTCCTTCCTCAGGTGAAGGGGGGAGACACCTACTTTGTTGGGTCCCTTCGAAAGGTTTTAAAATTACAGTTTAGTATAATTTAGACCGCCTCTGTGGTCTACTGGTCAGAGTTCCTGGCTACAGATCCAGATGTTCGGGTTCGATTCCTGGCGCTACCAGATTTTCTTAGTAGTGGGTCTGGAACGGGGTCCACTCAGCCTCGTGAAGATAACTGAGGAGCTATTTCAAGGAAATAGCGGCTCCGGTCCAGAAAACCGATATTAACGGCCGTGGGGATTCGTTGCGCTGACAACGCGACACCTCTATCCACAAAAGTTGGCACTAACTTCGCCGACAAGCGGCGGTCGCTCGGTCGGTATAGTTCGCTTGCGGACTAAAAGCGACGGAGTTTGTTTTTGTTTGTCTGTATAATTTAATTGTAACTTTGGTATGCATACAGTCAAATCATGTGGTAAGTAGCAGAAGTTGCGTGATTTAGCCCGTCCTGGCACAACAAGTTCTTTTTGTGTTAGATTTCTTACGGCCGATTCGCTTTGAAAATACAAATACTTTGAAATAGCAAAATTAAACCAGGTCAGTTCAGTCACCTGCTTCCCTTGAACTGATGCAACTGCAAACATAGTACATCACCGCCTCTGAGCCTCTGTAGATGAGGGCCTGCTCCTCGTCCCTCGACCAAGGTTAACTGTTCTTACTCCAGAGACATTATGACGTTCGTCAGCCATTTTACTGAACTACGGTTTTCTTGTGAAGTCCCGATTCCATGTTTTCTGATAATTCTAATTTCATCAAGGTCTCTTAAGTAAAACCACACATAACAATTTCCTGTAATTAAAATTCTAATCTGGTATTCAAAGTCTGTCCTTACCAGGAACTACTGAAATAGTAGTAAGGGTAGACGAGGCCGCGACATAGCTCAAGCGGTTAGTCGCTGCCTTCCCACCGCGGCGGCCCGGGTTCGATCCCGGGTCTGGTCAGGTGGGATCTGTGGTGGACAAAGTGGCTCTGGGGAAGGTTTTCTCCGAGTACTTCGGTTTCCCCTGCCAATCTTCATTCCACCAATTGCTCTACAATCACCCTCACCTATCATCTGGGGCTGGTACAATAGGCCAGAAGTGGCCGCAGTGCAAGGGACTTAGTCCTGACAAAATTTGTCCCTTGTTCTTTACTAATTAAGCACTGTGCTATGAACATGTATGGGGGAGTGGATGTATTCTTGGGCTCTGCACTACGAGTAGTTAGAGTGAGTGGTCAGCTCAACGCCCCCCCCCCCCCTGGATAGGTGGCAGCGTGAACCCCAGAACCGGTCTGGACGATAGCTGATAAGGACGCTTATGACTGCCCTGATTTCCGACCACCGTTAGTTTCAGTGAAAGCACGTGTTTGACATCAGAGTTACGTCACGGGAGCCCATCCCAAATTCCTACGTATAATTTCTTAAGATACCCCATAATAATGCGATGTAGCAGGAATTAGGGGCACTACTGGGAGGGCGA